ATCCAACATTGGCGTCTCTTATGTTAAGGCGGGCCTTTTGCCAAGACCGGGCTTTGGATTGGCCACGGGAGAGCTGACTGGTGGTACAGATTTATAAAAAGTTGCTTTGGCAGCAGCTGCCACCACAGCACGGGGATCCTCAATGTGTAGCTGGAGATATGCTTGTGTGTATGCAAAAAAAAATGTTTTAAACAATATGCTCCTTTTAAAAGGCATCCTGTTAAATAGAATTTCTGGCTGAAATGCGTAAGAGTTACTACTACAGTTATGCATGGCCTCACTCCCTGGCATTTTGTGGTTGGCTCTGCCTGTCATGGCAGCCGTTTTGTGACTGGCTCTACCTCCTGTGGGAGCCGTTTCCTACTTGCACCCAACACCCCCTGTGACAGGATTCCAAAGGTGCCCGAAGGTTAGGGACCCCTGCCTTAGACGGTGAGAGAAACAAAGAACAGAGAAAGGTTTTTAAGAGAAGGTGCGCCTTGGACCTACTTTTGCTACTCATTAAAGCTTTTGAAATATTTCCTTCTTGTTTTTTACCCTTAATTTCAGGTTTTCAATTTATTGCACAATAAATTACTTTCATTCTGAACCCCGGAATTTTTCATACTACACTCTTCCTACCTCTTCCAGTGTTGGTTCATGCTTACCCCCCACTCACCCCCGTCCATATTAGGGTTCTTTTACTCCCAATATAGGACACCTGTAATAAGGCCGCCTTGAGCCTGCTTCAGCAGGGAGGGCAGGGTAGAAATCCAATCATTATTATTATTGATGATGCAGCAGCAGCATTATGGGAGCTTGAAAGTCACATGATGGCAATTCTGCAAAACATTTTAAATAGACTGTGGGTCAATTGTTGGATCAGAGAGGTAGACGGGGTACGCAGGGCTGCACTTCAGCCTGAAAGTAACTCTGCACGTCCCTTACGTCTCTCATAACTGAAAAGCATTTTAGGAAGAAGGCTAGAATAGACTCCTGGCATCTACTTTTCTGTGTGCAGGGATATTTTGGAGTGGGTGGAATATTCACACAGGCAGTCCCCCACCTGCATTCTGGATACGGTCCCTGGAGGGGCGTGCCACATGGCAATTCTGGTCAGTTCAGCCTGGGCTGCACAGGACTGTATCACTGACCAGTGGTTCAAACAGACTGGACTCATCCATGGCTGCACATGTGGCCTTGCACACTATCTACCAGCCTCAGTGCCAGCTGCTGCCACAGGTCACATATCTGGGTTGATGGGGCTGGGAAGGAGAGAGTTCCAGAGCTTTGGTGCCGTGGCCGGGAGGAGGCCTCCTCAAGTGTGGCATCAAAGCTCCGGCACTCTCTCCCTCATGGGGAGATCTGCCCACACATTTTGTCGCCATCTTCTGCCAGCAGGTGAAGACTTTTTTTGTTTTGTTTGGCATTTCCTTGACTCTTCTTAAAAACCGTTTTAATGAGGCATGCTTGGACAGATGGGGTTGATTCTAACGGTTTTATAACGCGATTTTCATCCTGTGTATTTTAAATGGTGAGCTGCCTCAGTGGCCTTCGGAAGGGCAGGAAGGTGGGATACAATTTTGTGAACAAATCAAATAAGGAGCCGCCACAGGAAAGGCACCCTGAAACTCAGCTGCAAATTCCAGGGGAGGGAGCAGATTTTCCAGCCTTTTCATAAATCTCGATGGCGTGCATCCAACTGTACTCTCCGAGTATATGCAACACAATCTGAACAGACATCTTTCATTGGTTATAGCTGAGGTGTCATAGTGACCGGGGGAAAATTAGAGGCATTACGTTAAGGAGACCCTCCTTCTCTTTTCCCACAGTGAGCACCTCTCCCAACCTGGGACGTCGGCAGACACGCAAGGGAAACTGCCAGCTCAGGGCATCTATTGCACAGAGTGCCCCCCCCCAAAATCTGGGTTTGGATCACTGGCTAATAGTGCCTGACACCACCTCGAAGAGTTAAAACAATTCCGGGGTCTTTCCCCACCAACTGCTGAAATCAAATTAAAAAGAAAAGAATCGAATGTACATAAAGTTACAGTTTAGCTGTAAATATTTGGTTTGGCTTGGGTGAATTTTGGCATAGGTAAGCAACACCTTGGAGTATACTGAAAACCATGAAGCGTTAACAACATCAGGCCATGGGTGCACGTTCACTGCGTGCCTCCGCCTTCCTTTCCTTCTCTCCCTCTTAACTGTTCTATTGGGGGTAGAAAATATGCATGCTACTTTTCATTGTCTGTGCGTGCACATGCATTTAATGGCACGGGGGGGGGTGTCTATCAGGACTCAATTAAAAGGGGGTAGAGGAATGAATCACCACACACGGACTCAAAACGGAGGTAACATAACCAGCTGCTAAGATTCCTGACCCAGATAGCCCAGGGTGGCCCTGTCTCATTAGATCTCAGAAGCTAAGTAGGGTCGGCCCTGGTGAGTATTTGGATTGGAGACGACCAAGGAAGTCCGGGATCACTCTGCAGAGGCACTCAAAGGCAGACCTCCGTTCATCTCTTGCCTTGGAAACCCTACAAGTTGAACTCATGCTCGGAAAAGGCGCTCCGTGTATTTCTTCCATCGCATGCAAATGCAGAAGCATCCCACCATCTAGGGGAGTTCCAGCCACACGCACCGCCTGCAGCCGAGTCAGAGAGGCATTCCATGCATAGCCGCAGCAGCCGACATCAATACTCACAAAGGTGATGATGCTGTAAGCTCATCCTCAAATGCACTGCCAGCCTCCTCCTCACTCTGCAAGTCTGGGGGGGTCTCAGGCTCAAACCCTCTAAAGAACCAGCCAACAAAAGGTGGCGGGAAAGACACACGAGTGAAAATGCAACATGGCAAACAACCATCCTTGGTAGCGACAGCATGGACTACAAAGGCCTTTTGGACTCAGGGGTCACTGAAATACTCTCCTTTGGGACCAAGAATTTGCCTCCCCAAATATTAACAGGCAATTTCCTACGGTGATTCTGAAGATTCCTAGATGTGGATTTTTGCATTACGTTTTTTAGGTGTGCCTGGGGTTCCCTGCTCCCATCAGACACACCCTGTTTGCCATGTCACGTGGAGCTGCCCAGTCCCCCCCCCCCCAGGACACTGGTGAGAGGGTGGGGTTACCAGCTCCGGGTTGGGAAACTCCTAGGGACTTGGGAGTGGAGCCCGGGAGGGACCCAAAGCATCCCTTTTCTCCATAGGAACTGTCATCTGTAGTCTGGAGGTGAGCTGTAATTCTGGGAGATCTCCAGGCCCCACCTGGAGGCTGGCATCCCTATGTGGAACACCCACCATTTGTTCTTTGAAAACAGATCAAGATTGCACCCAGTGGTTCACTTCAGATATTTTTAGCCAGCCCTGGCATCTGCAGAAGAAAAAACGTTGATAAGATGGACACGCTGGATGAGTACAAAACCTCCCTCTGCACTGTATGTGTTTCAGTTTCAGACGCTTAATCCACCCATCGGCACAGATGGAAAACTGCTTGCCCAGCAGCGAAAGGCTTGAATTAAGGGAGGTGAGAGAAAATAAATCAAAGGATGATGCAGAGAGGAACAATCAGTGTGCCCCAGATCAGTGGTTTTCTTTGGGGCATGATTAGGTTTTGAAAGACAAACATCACCTGGTACCTTTTCAGTGGCAACTTCAATAAAGGCAACCTCTTTGAAACAGGCCGATCTTTTCTTGAGCCCTTTTTGGCTCTGTCAGGCCACAAAACCTCAACTCTTCCTGATACTTCCTCTTCAACGCACATCGACAGTAACTAAAAGAACACTTCCAGGTACTTGGAATTCAGTCTAAAGTGACTAACTTTGCAGTACACTCTGAAGGCTGTTATTCCTAGAAATGAGCACTGTTAAACATTACCTGCTCTTAAACCAGAGGACCCAATGTCATGCCTGTGGGCACCGTGGCATATGTCAACACCTTCCCTGATGGCCGCCAAGTGCTTTTAGAAGTGCCCAGGAAGGCTTCTTTTTGGCCACTGGAGATTTGATTGGCTTTGCAGATTGTTTTTTAAAAAATGTTGCTTTGGCAGCAGCCGCCATGACAGCACAAACGCCTTTACTGTGTGGCTGTGGTAGCCATTCTATGGCTGGCTCTGACTCCAACGGCAGCCATCTTGTGGCAGCCATTTTGTAGCTGTGCCCACCACATTGTGTCAGAATTCCAGTGGTGCCCACAGATTCAGACAGGTTGGGGACCCCTGTCTCAAACAATACTAGCTGGGTTCAATAACAGGTATTCTTTTATTTCAGGAATCAGCCCCAGGACCCCAAACACATTGTAAGTAACATTGTATGGATGTGCGCATGTGTGTGGAAGGGGATGACTTCAGACAGTCCCCATTAAAATCAAAGTAAGTAAGGCAAAAGCAGTGTCGTTGAGAATCAGGGCCACATACACCCCTCCCAAAAAGTCCCTCTGGGTCTCCACTCCTCGTGCAGGTGTCTCTGAATCAGGGCACAGGTAAGACTCTTAAATGGAATTGGTTCGCTGCTGAGGAATGAACAGAGAACTGAGGCCAAGGGGAAAACTTGAGGGAGAGGCAAAAGGGTAACAGCGCCTCAGCCACACACAGGCCTTGTGGACTTGCCCACACTCCCTAAGGAGCTCTTTCAGACGCAATAGTAAAGGAGAGTGCCTCTGAGCATGCCTCACTCTTGCCACAAAGTAAATGCAGACGACCCCTGAACAGACACAATGCACTGGAGAGGGGAGGGCATCACTGTCACGTCCTGCATGACACAGGGTGACCCTATTTTGAAACGTAAAACAGAGGACATATTTCCCAACTGGCTACTTCAAACAAATGATCAATATGACGAGGGCTTTTCTTCTGGGGGAACGTGCCGGAACAGAGTTCCAGAACCGACAAAATTCTTTCAAAAATTCTTTAAATTCTTTAAAAAAATTTTAAAAATTCATGAGTTTTCAGTAAACAGACTGAAAACTTCACTTCCCTCTTCAGAGTTCTGGCACCTCTACTATTTAAGCTGTGGCAATTGCTACTAACTTGGAATATTCCTAACTTCCCAACCCAAAAAGAGGACATTTTCATCAGTTTTTTTAAAGAGCCCAAGAGTGGACAGACACCTAAGAAGAGGACATCTGACACCCCCTGGCATTCCCACCGGAAGAGCACCCTTGCTCACCCCACTTGCCTGCTTGCCAGGGATTGGGGGAAATGCCAGATAAAGACTCTGGGAGCGGGGGGGGGGGACCCCGTTAAGAGGGAGAGCCAGACAGACACACTGAGGGGGATTTTAGCTAACCTCTTTTTAATCTCAGTGTAATCATTTGTCTCCTTTTATGTCTGTGCTCGTAATGCTGTAATTATATAATCCAAATATGTCCATCTTGCTCCATATTGCACTTTGTGCCGGAACAGCGCTTTCTGACTCAACGATCCCCCCCATTCTGGTATGCGTTTTAGTAGGATTGCTCTAAAGTTCTGCAGCAACATCAGCGGAGCACTTCTACATTTAGTGATCCTGAGTATGAAACTGCAGCCGATATTCTGGTCATTTCGAAGTCTACATAGTACTGTATCTTACTGGGTTGGATCCAGAAATCTGGTCAAGTATCTTCGCTGGTTTCCATTCCCCGTGACCCTGCAGCACTTTCCAACTCCAGGAGAGTCGATTTCCAGGGTCACGGGTCCCATGGGGAAATAACAGCACGGGGGCCGGAGATCCCTCTTATGTCAGCACAGTTCTGCAGGCGGAAGGGGCAGGAAAGGGGATTCCACCCCCTCCCCCCATCTCCCTCCAGCCCAACGGCCCACACGGCTTCATTGCTTCACGTGAGTCTGGTAGGCCTGGGGTTGCCAGTTCTGGGTTGAGAAACTCCTGGAGATCTGGGGGTGGGGGGGTGGAGCCTGGTGAGGGCGGAGTTTGGGGAGGGGAGGGACCTTGGTGGGATACAAAGCCATACAATCCACCTTTCAAAGCAGCCATTTTCTCCAGGGGGACTGATCTGTGTGGTCTGAAGATCAATGGTTATTCCAGAAGACCTCCAGGCCTCACTTGGAGGCTGGCAACCCTATGCTGGTTTTGTGGCCCTGGAAATCAAGTGGGGGAAATTTCTGACCACCAGCACCTTGCATTGATGGATTACTGGATCCCACTGGATCCCAGGATTGTTGGAGCAGAAGCAGGTGGGTTATATAGATAAAAAAGCACATTGATCTTTGTTGCTGTTGATTTTCACAGAACTCTTCTGGATATAGGGTCTGCTGTGGTTTTAATGACAACAACAGCATAATGTTGTACCTAACAAAAGGGATTCCATAAAATATCTCATCCTGCTTACATGTAAAACAAGATTTCCTGATACATGACACCATTAAGATGATGTTTAAAGTTGGCTTATTTCAGCCAACTGGACTATCCCATTTCTGCAAGTCTTTTATAAAAAGATTTTCCTTTCCTCAAGTCTACAGCTATCAACCTGTAATAATGACAAATTCTGTTTTCTCAATCCTTAACACGTATCTCTCTACTTTTTGCTTAATCGTAACTCCACGGGATGGAATGACAGAGGCATTCGGAGGAGGAGATGGAGATAGGGCAAGAAGGAAGGAGCGGACAGAAGTAGAGAAGCTGGGGACTAGAGAGAGAGAAGGAAATGGGGAAGACAGGGAGAGGGGGGAGAGAGAGAGAGGGAGATTCAGAAGAAAGCAGGGAACAGAGCATGGGCAAAAGTAGGGGAGAAGCATGATTTTGGCAGAGGAGGGATACGAAAGGAAAGGAATCAGGGAGCCACGGATGCTGGCTGGGCAGGCGGACAGAATCTGGAAGCAATAAGGGGCACACATTTCTAGATGAAACAAAGGAAGGGACAGTTGGGACAGTTTGGAGAAAGGAGGGAAGTCAGCTCCCTGGGAGAGGTCTCAGTGGACTGGCCTGCTGCTGCTTCTGGGAAAACACTCCAGAAACCATTAACAGCTAGGCTGGAAGTGCCTCCCTCTGGGCTTCTGTGCCCTGTGGCCTCTCCCCGTTCGGCTGCCTGGTTCCTCCTCACATCAGCGGACTTGTCTGTGTCACCAACGGGAGCCAGCAGACAGGTTCTCTGCCGCCCCCACCTGCCCTGAGCACTGACCACGGCAGGGAAGGGTCCTCCCCTTGCATTTGTAGTCCAGGAGCACACTGGAAAAAAGCTCCACTGGGATTTGGGATGGATGCCTGGGCAATGCAATACGGGACTTCCTGGCTTCCCAGGCACCTGGAGCAATCCAGATCCCGGGAATTTTGTACCCCCACCCCCACACACTGCCCCTGGCTGGGGAGTGAGAGGGAAGGACCAGAAGTTTTGCCTCATTTCCATCAACTATGGGCCAGAAAGACGCAGAAAAGGCCGACCGGCCTGGCAAAGGGGGACTATTTTCTCTTTCAAGCACTCACTTCTCACTGAGCTCGTCGACGCCCTGCCCATGGCCACGTGCGAAGGGGGGGCTCCCCTGAGTACAGGGGCTGGCAGGCGCGGATAAAGTGCTCTTGACCGTCTGGACAGAATGCCTCCGACTCCTCCGCCGCTCCAGCCCCCTTCGCTCTGGGCATCCCAGACTGGCTCGCCGGCGGTCTTTGCGGCAACTGGGAGGGGGTTCCCCGTTGTCATCCCCATCTTCATGTCTGAGTGTCATCTGAAAAGAACACAACAGAATATGATGGAGGAACGTTGGCCAAATGTAAAATTCTTTAATGATTTGTATTTGTGCCTCCACTCACTAGACTTCTTTGTTTCATTTGGCATTCCCTCGATGAGCCCTCCTTCCTAACCAATGTTTTCCTTGCTGTTTTTATGTTTTTAATGTATTTTAACCGTACTGTCTCCCTGAGGCCCACTTATCTGGAACATATAGGACAAGAAGAGAAGGAGGACACTTCCCTGACAGGACTTTATTGCCCCCCGCGAATGGGACAATCAACTCCCTCACAGCCGACAGGTCCTTCTGAGGCATTTCCTGTCAGGCAACCTTAGAATGTCAAGACTCCAGGAAGCTCAGTGAGTTTACCCTACAATCAGAAGGCACAATAACTTGGCCTAAAGTTTTCCAGATCTAGAAAAAGTTAATTTACTAGAGAAAGTAAACTAAACTCATGCATCAACAGAGGGCTTTTCCGCATTCTCATTTTCCTTGCTTGTGCCGGTTCTTATGCTGGACATAAAAAGGTAAAGGTTCCCTTGTTCGAAAGCCAGTCGAGTCCGACTCTAGGGTTGCGGTGCTCATCTCCGTTTCAAAGCCGAAGAGCCAGCGCTGTCCGAAGATGTTTCCGTGGTCATGTGGCCGGCATGACTAAACACCAAGGCGCACGGAACGCTGTTCCCTTCCCACCAAAGTGGTCCCTATTTATCTACTTGCAACGTCTTGCTTTCGAACTGCTAGGTTGGCAGGAGCTGGAACTAGAGACGGGAGCTCACTCCGTCATGCGGCACACTCGGGTCTCGAACTGCTGAACCTTCTACAGCCTGCAGTTCAGCGTCTTAACCACTTGAGCCACCACAGCTCCAATGCTGTAATATCAGTTTGATGTAATATCAAATCGACCGCTAGAGGGAGCAAAACATGTCTGCAACAGACCTCCCCCCCAAGCAACAGGAGCACACAAGCAAGGAAAATGAGAATGCAGAAAAGCCCAGAGAACTGTTCCTCAACAATATATGGCCTTCAGCTTGCAGAGACTGAAAAGGGGGCTCCATATCTGCCCTTCCCATTACATGCCTCTGTTACTTCCTTTGTTTATTCAGTTATATATTTATATCCCACGCTGCCACCCAATAGTTCTAAACACGGTTTACTAATCTCCATCTACACAATGGCAAGCCAATACAGACATTGTAACAAAGGAAATTCTTGGTTCCCACCAGAGCATAAGAATGGATGGATTCTTTAACAATCTAAATTTAAACTTGCATGCACTGAGGGCTGGCTGCTTTCACAGGTGGAATGAAATTTTCCTTGCTTCGGATGTAAAACTGTTGGTCTGAAAATACTTGTTTCTTGTTGTCAGGAGTACAAAGGGCCTAACACATATACTCAATTGATTTGCTTTGTAGAATTTTTTTTACCATACCTGGGTAACACATAAACAGAAGGTTTTCTTTTTAAAATAGAAAATCTATAAGCCAATATGACTCAGGACACAATCACCTCCCCCCAACTTCAAAGAATATGCAAAAAGGGAGATGCACAGAATGTGGAATGTTCTGTTACCTCGTAAATGTTGAATTGCTCTACTAAGTCCAAGTCTGCTCCTTTCTTGTTCAAGTGTCTCTGGGAAACGGCTTCGATCCCTAGCTCTTCTAGACAGTCCACAACGTCATAGAAGGAATCCTGATCTGGCAAGGCGGCCAGTGTCTGAAAACCAAAGAACAAAGCATTTCCATCCCTTTGCCCTGAAAGGAATTAGATTACGGTCGACGGGCATTTGCCCGTGATGGCGGCTGTGATAGAGAGAACAGCATGGCTAGAAACAGGATATAACAAGACAGAGAACTGAACAACTTCCTGGCTCTAACAGGCAACAAGCACAAGATCCAGCAGAAGGAAAGCACTCTTAAGTACAGTTGATTCATCCTGAACTCTTTCCACTGGAATCAAAGAGATTTAAAATTGTTCATCTTTGACTGGATTGTGCCTTAGGGATCACTATTCTGTATGAAAAGATCAGGTACCACCAAGGCTTCAGACGTACGCACATTCAACTTAGGAGTAAGTACCACTGAATGTGCTTGAACGAGATCTGATCTGCATGGCCCAGGCTAGACTGATCTCATGAGATCTTGGAAGCTAAACAGGATTGGCCCTGGTTAGTATTTGGAAGGGGAGACTATGAATCAAAATAATAAATAAATAAATAAATAAGGAAGTCTGGGGTTGCCATGCAGAGGCAGGTGATGGCCAACCACCTCTGAACGTCTCTTGCCTTGGAAACCCCACAAAGGATCGCCAAAAGTCAGCTGTGACTTGACGGCGCTTTCCACCACTGTCTGTCAAAGGCAGGATCAGTCCCAGTGTGCCTCTTCAGCCAATCTCTGACAACGGGGTCAGGAGCTGACTTTGCATCCTTCCCTAGAGAGACAACAAGCGACAATCACGGCAAGGGTTGCCAGGCCCTTGCCTTCTGCCAGCGGGGGGCTCCAGGCCACTCCCCTGGACCTTCTGGTGTGCGCGCTGTGATGATGTCACCTGGAAGTGATGTCACTGCACTGGGCACGTTGTACAGAGGACGCTGTAGCATTTGGCGAACCACTCTATGGCCAAAGGCTACAGCCTCCCCCACGCAACATGCTCAGCATGACGATGTCACCTCTGGGTGACATCACTGCACTGGGCACATCAGGCACGGCAGGGCTTTTCGTGGGTTGGGCCCTCGTTCTAACCCTCGTTCCTTGGTCAAGACTTGGGTCATCCAATGTGTAAACAGGACCGGATGCACTAATCATACGGTTTAATTTGATGAGTCAGGAAACCATCTTAGTGGCAATAAAAGCAGTGGTCATAAGAACAGTCAAATGCCATGAATCCCAGAAAAATAATACTTTTTGTGCTTTTTCTTTTTTTAAAAAAGACCTGCAATGTAATCTTAAATATAATTACAAAAATACGCGATACGGGGAAATGGTGGTGGGGCCTTCCTTTCCACCCCATCGTGAGTTCATCCCCTTCCCTTCCATTGCCCACATTCACTGTCCCTGGCCTACAAGTCCCAGCCGGTTGGCTACAGCCCTCCTAACGGTGACCAAAGCTGGGCAAAATGGCTGTGAGATGCAGAGGTTCTGCTGTGCTGTGGGCCCCATCCCCGAACTACAGCGGCCACAGTGAAGCCTTGGGTATCCCATCTGATGCTTCCCTTGGAGTCAAGGGACTCCCCTGACAAGACTGGAGCTACAAGCCTCCAGGCCTGCTGGATTGCTGAGACAACTCAAAATGGTGACCAAAGGTTCCCCCCCCCCCCCGAGAGAAGGGACTCAGATGATAATCTCAACTGGTGGGCAGGTTCCCAGGGGAGGGACTTTCCAGTGGGCTGGTCTAAGAAAACTATGAGCTGTTTTTGTCAGCAGCCATGCGGAAGAGTGTGCTGTACACATAAATATGCAAACCCCATGTGAAGACGAACCTTGTTCACTAAGGTCATTGCATAAACTAGCAGTTCTGTGTCAACCCCATCTTTTTCTTCCAGGATCTCCATGACATTGGACCATGGCTTGAGGCCTAAATGGAAACAAGAACAATGAAGAAAGTGGATCAACTGCAGTCGCCCAGCACATAAATGGGATTCAACACAATACAGTTAAGATCTAAAACAAATGGTTCCTTTCAGGTGTGAAAAATAATTACAACAAATCATATAATGTAGATTTTCTGACTGATGGTGGTGATAGGGTTGCCAAGTCGATCTTCGCCGGGAGCGGGGGGCTCCCAGCCGGCGTCTTGTGCGCCGCAAGCATGTCACCCGGAAGTGACGGGAGGATGCCAGGCACGCTGGGGGCGGGGCCATGGCCATACAAGGGAGAACCATAGAGTTTCCCTTGTATGGCCGTGGCTCCGCCCCCAGGGTGCCTGGCGTGCCCGCGTCACTTCCGGGTGATGCGCACATCAGGGTGGAGTTCCCCCTGGGGCCCGATCCGGCGCCGCCGGGGAACGGGCCTCTGGGACGGGGGTTTCCCCGCCCCCCGGGGGGACTTGGGATCCGTAGGTGGTGAAAAGGAGGACTGAACTGACGCCTGTTGAATCATTAGCATGGTGAAGAAGTGGGAAGGACAGTGGGAAGGGTGCATCACCCCTGCCCTCAGCCCTTCTAAAGCCCGGTACCAGCAGGACTGAAGACTTCAAAAGGACCCACTTTCCATGAAGTGTGTACAGAACTGTAGCCCTCCTCCCCTGGTTTTCTTTGAAGCTCAAATCAGCTGTGAGATAATGGGGCTGTCAGTAAACAGGGTCAGGCAATGGTCACTGAAAATGGAGTTACTGAACCTGTCCCCTCACACTGTTCTCGCCATTTAAATAGCAGCCGCTTGCCCTGTTAACAGAGTCCTTGTTTGCCCCCCTCCACCTGCACGACCAGTTTTAAGTCCCTCCACCGACAGCCAAATGCTTGCGGGAAGAAGGCTCACAGCCTGGTAACAATGAGGCGCCACTGGCTGAACACTCCTCAGTGTTATGGGATGGAGTGGGAAAACTCACACGGGGGACAATTCTGGTGGGTCTAACACAGCTAGGGTTGCCAAACTTCAGGCGACACCTGGAGATCTCCTGCTATTACAACTAGTCTCTGGACAACCAAGATCAGCTCCCCTGGAGGAAACGGTTGCCCTGGAGGTCGGGCTCTGTGGCATTCCACCTCGCTGAGGCCCCCCCCCCTCCCTCAACACTGCTCTCCCTCAACAACACTCTTCACCCCTAAGATCTCCAGGAATTTCTCAGCCCAGAGATGGCAACCCTAAGCACAACATCAAATTCTCATTCACCAGACTTTTCTGATCGTATTTCAGCTAGGAAGGAGGTATCGTTCTCTCCCAGCCTTGCTTTTCAGACATGCCCATTTGGTCTTGTGCAAATATTACTGAGCTTTAATCTTTAAGGAGATAAATAATACTTTGTGATTAGACTCTTAAAAAAAACCCCACCAATATTTTCTACAAATGCCGAGGGTAGGGGGGTTGCACAGATATTTCAAAGACATATGGAATAAATACAGTGGCTTTAAGGAGACATATGACTGGCAGAAATTATATCCTTGCCCCAGAAATTCCTTCCTGTGGTTTCTAATGAGGGGGGGGGAGAGGGGGGGAGGGAATAAAAAAGGAAGGGGTTTTATATGACTCTGGCCTATACTTGTGCAAGTTGTTAGGCAGCAGCTTGCCAACAACATGACAAATTAATTACTTTAATCCATGCCGTATGATAGAAATAGCAAACAAGTAGTGTGTCTATTAACTAAAACATATTTCTATCATGTATGGAACTGTTGCTTGGCAAGTGACAGGCAGAATGTTCTAGAAAGATCAAGGAAGCACTTAGCAAACAAGTAGTGTGTCTATTAACTAAAACATAAGTGCTTCCTTGATCTTTCTAGAACATTCTGCCGGTCACTTGCCAAGCAACAGTTCCATACATGGGGCTGCACAGCAACGGCAAAGAAAGTGTGGACTGCCACGTGGGAATCACAGGCAAGGAATTTCCCCCCATCCCACCAGGAAGATGCATTTATTTATAACTAGGAATAAGTCCCATTGTGAAAATAAATACAACGAGTTCTAGAAAGATGCTCTGGGTGTGGAACCGTTTTCTCCAGGGGAACTGATCTCTGCCACCTGAAGAGCAGTTGTAATTCTGAGTGATCTTCAGCTCTCACCTGGAGATTGGGAACAATGGCTCCCCAGGAGTTGATGGCTGGTTTGAAGGGTGGAGTCTATGGCATTGTACCTATCTGAGGTCCCAGCCCTCCTCAAACCCCACACTCTCCAGGCTCCACCCCTCAAATATTCAGGTATTTCCTAACCTGGAGTTGGCAACCCTATCTCATTCCCAGCTGACCATCACCCCTTCTGCCCCTCTGACTTCAGCTTTCCATCTCCTCCCCCCCTCCCTGCAGCCTATACCTAGGAAGAGTACAGTCTTTCTCCGGAGTGGGGACAAAAGCAGCTCACATCATTCTCCTCTCCCTCCTTTTGATCAGCACAACCCTGTGAGGTAGGTTAGGCTGAAAGTTTGTGACTGGTCCGAAATCATCCACTCAGCTTCCCCAGGAAGAACCTGAGTCTGGCAGACCCAGCTCTGAAGTGTTAACTGCTACACAACATTGGCTGTGGTATCGCCTGGTATCACAACTGAACTCCAGACAACAGATCTCTCTTTCCCCTGGGAGAAGATAACTGCTTTGGAGGGTGGTCTCTATGGTATTCTGTTCAGCTGAGGCCTCTCCCCTCCCCAAACTCTGGCTTCTGTAGACTCCACCACAAAATCTTCAGGAAGGCAACCCTAGTTAGGACTGGCCCCAATGAGTTCCCCACAAAGGCCAAAGTAGGCCTGGAAAGGGCCTCCTCCCCTCGCCTTTTTACTGACAGAACCAAGCGTGGTTGCCTAGCAACACCCACTGAGGGGAAGGTGAGCAGGAGAAGAGAATGGTTTGACAGCCACTGGCCCACCTCAGTAGCCAGCCACCCATGGAGACGCCAAATAGGAGATGAATCTTCATTTTGTGAGACAGTCATTTTGGCAATTTATTCTGTCAGGGAAGGGTGGCCAGGCTGTAAGTGGGTGGGAGAGAGGAGTGGACACAGCACCCGGTCAATGGCACACGAGTACTCTTGAGTGGCAGTTGATGGGCCAATGGCTGATAGAGCGCACAGCACAGCCAATGGGAAAGCAGGAAAGTGCCAATATGCTGGGCTTTTATATATATATAAGATTGGGGAGGGGCTGTGGCTCAGTGGAATAGCCTTTGCCTGGCATGCAGAAGATCCCAGGTTCAATCTCTTTTTCTTCTCCAGTCTACCAGGGAGTAGGTGTTGTGAAAGACTTCTGCTTCAGACTCTGGAGAGGATCTGACAGTTTTAGTAGACATAACTGACCTTGACAGACTAGGGTCTGATTTTGTTCATTTGCTTATTTAGACTTTTGCCTTCTGCCTCTCCTGTGATTCCAAGTTACCCGATGGAAAAGAAATCACAAACATTTTTGTGATCTAAAGTTTAATCCAAACATAGATGAGTCTGCTGCAAATGTGGGTGGAATAAACACCCCAAGTATAACAGCTACGGAGATGTCCGGTGGCTTGCTCATCCTCTCCACAGCTCCTCTTCTAAGTTCTCCCTTAATGAGACTGACATATAACATGAGACATGCCTTCAACAGTAGCAGTTCTCATCCACAGCTGTGGATTTTTTTTTTAATAGAAAGCCCATGACACCCCTAGAAACTTCCACTTCCTTTTACCCTTTTATAACTATGCTGCTCTGTTTCCAAAATAAATTATGAGCAAACCACTTTGCTGCTCTGCATGCTTATGTCTTGAAGACATGATGAATGTGGGAATCCCATCTGTGTTTAGGGTAGCGGGCTGTGGTACAAACCAAAGTTTACTCAGGGCCAAGATGAAGCGAGGTGGAGAAAGAAAAAAAAAATGCAGAGCCCTAGCAGTTGGTCAGAGACAACTCAGCCATCTGTTAGGACCAGCTGCATTAAGAAAAGGCTTTATTCAACACAGAGAGGTGAAGGCGACCCTGTTATTTTATATTCTGCCATTAAGGTGAAGGGAATTTTACTGTTTAAGAACATGGAGCTGGACTTCCGGTTTATGGCGACACGCTGGCGGACGCATCTCCCGGACCTCCCGGGGATGTGATCTGTGCACCAGCGGAAAGGAGGGGGGTGACGGGTCGCCCCCCGGAGCCTCTTCACCAGCACGATGCTGGGGAATTGAGGCGCTCCTCTGCCCCGACGGTCCTGCCGCTGAGTGTCCATATGGATCTAGAGCCGCTGACCGGGACAAGCGTCGTAGATCGAGCGTTTTGAACGTGTGTCGAGCAAGGTCGTATGGCCAACAATGAACAGTGAGTCATGTTAAAGCAAATATGAGAATTTAAAAAAGAAAGCTACCCCCTGGGAACGGCGAAATAAGCGAGCGGGGGAGGGGCCCCTCCCATGCGCATGAATTAAACAACTAAATACTAAGGGGGGAGCAGAAGAAAAAGTGTTGAAATCTGTTTTGAGAGACTTACCAGAGCGCGGATAAGCGTATGGGCGTATTTCAGAGACTTTAGCAAGTTTTCATAAAAGTAAACAATCCATAAATAAGGCAGGGAATAGGGCAGAGAAAGACAAACCAGCAAAAGTGAAATTAGCCAGGACCATGAGCCCTCGACCGGAAGAGGTCACTGAGTTCTCCAAAATGTTGGCAGATTTCTTGCGCCCTCTGCTGGACCAGATGACTAATATTAAACAACAGCTGACGACTCTAAACCAGAATGTTGCAACTCAGCAGCTCCAACTGACTGAGACTTTAAAAATAATGGAGCAAACGGCTGAGAAGGTGAAGGAAATGGACGCCAACACTAAAAAAGTCAAGAAAAAGGTGCAAAAGCTGGAAAAGAAAAAAGCTTCGGAAGAATCACAACTATTACAGCTGCAAATGGAGAAAGCAAATTTGGTCCTACGGTTCCAAGGGGTCCCAGAATTAAAAGGTGAGAATCTAAAGCAACTCCTGAGTG